TGCATTGTTCCATGCTCCGTGGTACCTTCTGTCCGCTCATCACTCTAGCAACTCCCAGACAGGACTGAACAGGTTCTAACCCTAATATGAGGGAGGGTGGAGGTTGTGGCTACCATCTCTCAAGGTCGCACAGATGCTGCGCAGTGCGGCTTGTTTACAAAAAAAATCAGTCCCGGTCATATTTGAACCACCTAGTACGTTACATTTCACAAAAATCAGCCCTCTCAGAGAAAGAAATAATGTGGGTCTAATCAGAAGCTTAAAGAACTGAATTTATTATATTAAAATGAAGCACGGCAGAGCTGTTGGGCAAATGACATAGTTGGCAGCTCCTGAATTTAGCCCCCTGGTGAGAAGTTTACATTTTGCCACACTCAAGGGAGAAACATTGTTTTATGCAGCTTATTTATTAAATGTGTCATATTTTGAAATTGCTGTTGTGAAAGAGCAGCATATGCTTTAAGTTCTGCATGAAACTTGGGAAAACAGACAAGGAAAGTAACGATATGCTATGATGTGCATTTTGGGATGAAGCTCTCAACTGCTAGAATATATATGAATTATTCATTAACTTCAGACATAATCTAACTTCTGAGAAAGATGAATCCTACTCATGTTAACATCACATACTGAGAAGTCAGTCACTTTTGTTCATGAAGTGGCAGCAGAAGTTGGTATCTCCTACAGCACTTGCCACATAACTTAATTTAAAGTGTGGGAATAGGAAGAGACTCAGCAGAAATTAACCCCTTTGGTACAACAGCGTCATCACTTGCAGAAGTCCCTGTTCCACTCATCTCATACAAAGTAGTGGATTCGTATACCCCCCCCCCCAAGTAACAAAGATAAATGGAAGGACTCTAAAGTAACTGTATATGGTGCAAGGGAGACTACTATGAAGGGGATAAATTGGACTATTTTACCTTTAGTTTCACCACCATGTTTCTTTCACATGCTCTTCTCTTTGTGACATTTCAAAAAGTTCAATCAGGATTGGAGGTTTTCACAGCAGTTCATCAGATTTAAATATGGACGGTACAGAGGTAGCCATCTTGCAAGAGTTTGTCAATTCAGTGCAACGATTTTGGACAGCTTTCCTTCACTAGAATGAAAAGTTCTTATTTGTTAATACTCAGTTGTAATATTAGTGTTTCTGACTGAAGACAGTATATCATATTTCATTGAGTTAGATGGGGGTGCTTTATTTCCTTGTTCATTATGATGTGTTGTGTAGTTACACAGTGCTTTCTACTGGTAATCCTTGAATTAACTTATTTTATACCCATTTATTGAAATTGTCACAGTCAACTTCATCATGAGAGCTGGATGCATTAAACTTAAAATCACACATCCAAAATGTACCAGAAATGTGTAGTATTATATGCTGACTGGCACTACTGTCTGCACATACACCTGGCAGACTGTCACCATGCCACCAGCTCTTGACAGTAGACTAAGAATGAACTCACATTTCATTAGTATATATCATGTTTTCTCCTATCTAGTTTCATTTCTCTTAAAAAATTGAAGATAAATTTCCCGTTTTGCAAATGTGTCTGCACACTCAAGAAAATACATCCTTTAGCCTTATAGTTTTAATGTATCTTTCTGGTCCTTAAAGCTGATCTGTGTGCATAAGTTGAATAATTTATAGCTGTATTTTTTTATTCTCATAATACTAGTCATACCTGTGGATACATCAGTGGTAATTTTATTGGGGTGTTATTTTCTCTTTTCTGTGAATTGAGATTTGTATTCCCTTCACTTCAACTTCCTGTCCTTTCCTTATTTTGCATACAGTGCACTTACTGAACTGTAAACATGCACTGCTCTCCTGTTTTCTCTAGAGTGCCAAACCTAATAACACTTTAAATGCAGACATAAACTATAGCTATACAAATCCAGCATGGTGACCATATCATATGAAAGTAGATAACTTAACTGCAAAAATGTTCACCAGTAATGTAATTTTAAGCCGTTTATATCTTAAATAAAGGTAACATGAATTTTTAAGGATCAAGTTTTAGGGTCCTTTCTTATTTCAACGTAAAATAAATGATAACGTTGTTACATAAGAAATGTGGAATCACTGCTATTTGAATGGTGTATGCAGTGTACAATGTTGAGTTCATAAAATTATAACTGTGTTTTGTGTTATAGTTATCTTTCAATTTACTAGTAATTGCTCATCATATATTATTTTCTTGAATAATGTCAGACTTAGGTTACTGATAAATATTTAGATTATTATTGTCAAGGTACTGTATGTCAAAACTAATTTTACAAACTGAATTTTAAACCATGAAGCAGGGTGTAATGTTTTCATGATGATGTGTTCCCCATAACAGAGTTTTGTTATTGTGGTATATGTTTTCTTATATAAAGCATGTAAAATGTTCTTTGAGAATATTGTGCATGTAATGAGTACTGTCTTCTGTTATGCCATATTTATATATTAACAAAAGTAAACAATAGAAAACAGGCAGTCTGGGACCTATAGACCTCACATGCAAAGCAAGAAATACTCCTGTGAAATAACTGTGAAGATTATATTTTCTTTTTAATATGAAGTATTTTTGTGTGTGGTACATATTTGTAAGAACCCTGCAGTTCAGAGTAGAAAAAAACAGCTTCCAAATCATGCTGTTTACACCGAAGAAAGAACTGTGCCACATAAAACATTTTTTTATATACAAATTCTTTAATTCCTGTATTATACTGTAAGGTTTAACTGATATTACACAGCAGAGTTCATGTTTTATTACATGCAGCAGCATAGTAGCGATGCATTAAGCAGACAGCACATGTAAGCTTGTACTTGCCACTTGTAATTAGATCTTTTATGTGATATTTCAGGTTACAGTGTGATTCAGAGTCACATGTCTTAAACTTTAGGATGCTGGGGAGGTAATTTTGGGAAGAAAATGGACATAAATTGTTGTTTGATTCATCACCCTTGTTGGCTGACAGCATTCAGCAATCTTTTAAGGCAAAGAAATAACTCTCTATTTATGTATACCTTTGGTTATTTACATTTAATATTCGTTTGTTACTTTTAAGTTTGTCTGTGATTCTAGCCAAAATTTTGATGCTAAATCTTTGTTGAAATGAAGATTCTTTACTC